ATCTCTGTTTAATAGCATTGTATTTCTATACTGTTCTTCTGGACTTACAATAGCAGTGTTAATGTACTGTATACTACATAACTCTTTTTACCAACGGGTGTTATTAATAAGAGCAAAATACCATTATAAACAAGATTTTCTGATAAAAAAGTAAAACACTTATTTATTAAATTCATGCATTTTGCGATACACTTTACTACTACAGCATAAAAATGTATTTTTTTTACAGTTTTCCGAACTGATTGGAAGTTAATTTGTCCACCTACCATGCTATAAGTTGTGAAATAATGCACTAGGTGCCAAATTCGGCTTGGCAAAATACAGAATCGGATCCAACAGACTATTTACACCTAAAAACTCATGTTGCCAAAATGGCTCAAAAGTGCCGCTGAAATTGAGAAACAGAAACTTTTCTCGATTTGGCCACTTAACTATTATTACTAAGTATTTTAAAATGATTTCTTTAAAATCAATTAAAATTAAAAAATTGTTCTTTCATTTATTTTTCATTTCCCTTATTAATAACTCTGTGTCTACCAATGGGATGCACCGGAATATAGAAGATTTAGGAAATCCTATACAGCACTGATGTCGACGAGTGTCTGTCTCCCTGTAAACTGATCTCTTTCAATGATGCTCTCCACGTTCCGTTTTATCTTACATTTGGAGTAATTTCGTGGAAGAAATATTTAGACAAAGAATATTGAAAAATACTCGTATATATCAATATTCAAGGATATTATTAATGGATTTTCGAGTGTCACAATTGCAGTTTTTAAAGTAAATGCTTAGGGGTAGGTAATTCGTAATAGGGAAAAGTTGTTGACTTTTAATATATAGGGTGTGGTGTGATCAAGTATCCGTTTAAAATAAATAAACTTATCAGTATTTACTTGTTTTCATTAGCATTTATTTTGTACATTCGTCATATATACAATTATTAGTAAGTAAAAATAAAGAAAATAAGAAAATCTCAAAGACAATGTTATTTATTTGTTATCCAAACAGGCCTATTGGCCTAATTACAAGGATACTTACGTTATAATAATTATTACATTTTTAATATTTTTAACTTCGTTAGGTCGGGTTATTTTTGGCCCAGAACACTGCAGTCTTAGGTACTATCTTTGGAATAGTCCTATACCTTTGGTTAGTTTTACCAAGTTCCCTACCAAGTGTTCCTGAGGCGTTCTTCCCGGTTCTAGGCCGAAAAAGTATGATTCCGCCTAGCAAGAGCTTCGAATTCGAAGATCTTATGGTATGAGTTTTCTTCCTCTTCCATACACAGTCAACACGTCGTAGGATCTTGTGTAATCTCATCCACATAAAGGTGTTTCATCAAGCGATGCATCCTTAGTAATCCCACAATGGTGGATATCTGAGGCCTTGCAAGTTGTAGTACCTCAGTAGCTGTACGCGGGTTTAGTCCCATTATCATAAGCTTACTGATTCTGTGCTCCCTTATCTGTTACCAGTGAGTCTGGCGTTTAGTGGTTATCTTGCTGCTCACTGCCTGAGGTTTTGCTTATCCCAAATACTGGTTTGGGTCCTGTAAATGGTAGTTATAATCCCTCTTTAGCGAGTTCATCAGTCTTTTTATTTCCTTGGATACCTTTGTGTCCTGCTACCCACGCTAGTTTAATCCAATTGTAGGTTACCAGATCATTAAGTATTCCAATGCAGTTCCAGACCAGCTTTGACCTGATTCTGTTTGAACCAAGGGCCTTAAGCTGCTTGGCTATCTGAGAAAATTGAAATGATTTATTTTTTATACTTCCTTCTTAAATTCTCTCACACACACAATTCAATTGCATGTATTTCCCAGTGAGATGATGATGTCGCATTTGGATTTACCTCCTTGTACGCCAGAGCCTGTTCCCTTGTTAGCTTTGGATCCATCTCTATAACATGCGAGACCGCTAATTAAGTATTTCTCTACCTTCTTATTTACCTCGTTCCAGTTGACCTAGACGTCTGTTGAAGGTTAGGCAGGATGTCATTTGATCTGATCCTATGTTTAATATAGGAACATTTACCTCACGTGTTATTCTAGTATGTTTTATATCCTATTGAGTTTAAGTTGTTGGAGATATACAGCTTTAATGCACTCACTCGGATCTCCCCTTTATGACTAGGTCAATTGGTGACAAGTTTAGAATAATTTTCATAGAGGCTGTCGGTGTACTTTTCAGTGCTCCTGTAATACAAAAGCATGCAACCCTCTGTGTTCCTAAGGGGATATTGAGGGCTCTTTTCTGGTTTACCGCTTCATTAGTTATCATGGGTCTTGTTATTGCCGAATATAGCTAGTGGACCATTTTCGGTTATAATCCCAATGTGTTTCCAAATACCCGTCTCCCTAAAATGAGAGATGGTTAACATTTGTTGGTCACTTTTTGTGAGTGTTAGTTCCAAGTAGAATAAGACCCAAATATGTTACTTGGTTCGTTCTTTTTAGTCTTCCACCAAACAAGGTCGGAGTTTTTAGGACATCCAACCTTGTTTTCTGAGTAGAGATTATGAGTTGTGCCATGTCAGGGTTTACCAAGAGGTTTTCCCTAACGCAACACATTTATGTCAGCCTTTGCTCTTTGCATAAGTTCGAAGACTGTGCTTTAATCATTTTCTCGAATAGGGATAACTATGTCATCGACCAGCAGATGGTGTCTTCTCTTCCATGTTTGCAAGCAGCAGCTACCATTTATTTAAAGGAGATAATATCAAAAGCTACTTCTATGTCAAGAAATAATTCTAATACAATTTCTTGGTTACTGCGTCTCCCTCTATCTTGGTAACAAGATAATGTACAACAAAATTTTCCTGATTGATAGGCAAGTTTGTTTTGTATGAAATGGCATCTCTATTAGAGTGGTTTGACGGACATGCCGATCAATCAGTTTCTAAATTCTTTTAATAGAAATTATTTTAGAGTTACTGATTTGTAGGCCTTTGTCACGGCATATGTTGGCTTAGGCATAAAAACTACTCTGATTTGTTTCTAAGTATTTGGTACATGTTTATGCATCAAACTTGCCTTGTAGAACCTACATATATGCAAGGCCAATGTTTCTATTGTCTGTTGAAGAAGCACAGGCAATACTCTAACTGGACCTGGTGATATTTATGGGTTAAAGATGCATATTGCCCATGTTACTTTCTCTGTTGTGACTACCCGTTTTGCAGTTTCCCACTCTTGGCTGGGGAATCTTTTATAATTGTGAATGCCATCAATTATAAGAAAGTGATATTACAAATTAAAATAATCCTCATTCAACACTTTAAATATTAGAATGGAAGAAGTGGTGTAAATACCAATGCACTAGTAATAATTTTTTTTGGACGTTATCATATTTTGCGTATCAGTTTATATGAAGCAGCATATTAATATTGTTTGCTAAACGAATCATCATTAAGATATAAGTTCTGGATGTTGTAAAGGAAAAGGAGTAGTAAACATATTTAAATTTAGAATTGGACGCGGAGGAACAGAAAATGGTACTAGTGCACGAAGATCCGGACAGTCCATTTGGTTGGTCTTTGTCTTTGTAACTTATTCATTTTTAGTAAAGCAATTTGTATTGTCTCTGCCATATCATTGAAGCAAAATATATTTTGGGTCGTAATAATTTAAAATAAAGGGATCTTACTTAATTTATATTTAAGAATAGCTGTGTTTATCTTATCAAAATTGCATCATTTAATATTACAAATTGCTTCCATTCTAAATATTGAATTTTTGCTAAACATTTATAAAACTAATGGTCTAAAAAGTATATCTACTAAAATTATTTTTTGCCTGTTTTATGCAGATTTCGTATTTATACATACATAAACAAAAAGCCATTATATATATTTTGATACATTTACATATTGATAATTTTTTTGGTCCTTTCTCATATAGTTCTTTCACTGTTTAACAATTCAGCGGCACATAAATGTCATAATACCATTAACATCTTCAACCCATGTAGGACGTCATGAAAATGTCATTTTTGTGGCCTCAGAGGTCACCAAGGAAACCGTAAAGGGAGGTAAATCATTACGAACCAGGGAATAGCAAAATCATTTCAGCTCTGATTGTAGAGTATCCATAATTTAACAGCGCCCTGCATTTTACAACCGAAAATAAAATAGTTAATTATGTACCAAGTCAGCAAAGTGATTCTTTATCGAACCAGTCTGAGATTATGAGCCGAGCGAGAGAAGCGAGCGAGGCGAGTAACAGGTGCGTTCGATAAAGATACTTTGCTGACGTGGTTTATATAAACTTTTAACGAAAACTGTAAATAATTATAATTAATAAGAAAGGAGATATTATAACATCATATTTTAGAATGACAAAGTAAACAAACAGAAAAATAACAGCGACTACAAAACAAATTAGTTACATAATATTTCTGTCAGACAGCCATGGCTAAACTGATAAATATTAGCAGTAGATAAAATATTTGAATTTAGAGTGAAATAAGTGTTTATTTACTTATAATAAAGATTATAATACTCTTATTATTGATTCAGAGTTTCTATTATAAGTCCTTAAAAAAAGACTGTCATTTTTCATTTTTGCCTTTGGAAATGGAATTCTTAGTGCATTTGAAGGGAATCGACTTAGCGATAGGTATTAACGCAGTGAACCGTGACATCTTTTACCGGTTTTCATATTTTTTGTTATTTTTTTTATACGAGTTCAGATCTCAATAAAATTCTACGGTTTAACGAATTCTTTAGTATCTTGACTCGGTTTCTATTAAAATTGATTAAAATTACGTTTTGGAAGAGATTTTTATCCAATTGAAATCTGCGAATAAGAATAAGGGGTTTTCAAGATTTTAAATCATAGCATATTAATTTTGAAATTCAATAATGAACGCATTTTTTCTCTTTTGAAAATATGTCTCTGCTTCGGTCTATTTAGTTGGAATTTTACTAATTATGTTACTATATTATACAAGGGTAGGTAATACTAAAAAACTTTTGCAAAATAATATCTTTATTCGTATAGCGAATTTATTAAAACGATGTATTTACAAAGTCAAAACAAAAAATTTAAGCATTAAAAATAAGTTACATAAAATCACAACTTTTAGATAGATTGATCCAACACAGTATAATATCTAATACCGATATCCGCCTTCTATTGGTCTATTGTTTGGAGCCAAATATTGTCTGCTAATATCAAGTTGTTCAGGTCTACCAACTTCTACAGGTCTACCAACTTCTACAGGTTTACCAACTTCTACACCATTCAAGTCATCGAACTCTTGAGAATTTCTAGAAGATGCACCACTAGTATATGAAGTTCGTTGGCCGCCTCTATTGAAGCTGAAGGAATTTTTTTGAGTAGCTCTATCAAAATTAAAAGCTCTAGATCCAGATCTTCTATAATCGTAGGAGGGTCCGGATTCACTAGAAGATAAAAGACATATTTAATCAAAATATTCAATACATGAAAGATACAATAATATTTAAAATGATCAATTTTGTGACACTTATGAGATATAATAGTTTACATTACCCATTCTGGTTATATTTTTCAGCAGCCACGTTAACTTCTGGGACTGGGGGAGCGGTTGGCAAGTGATCTCCGAATGCTCTAAATCCATTTTCATCTGCTATATAATTGACAGTGAAAATTTGACCATCAGGTGCTTGGAATGAGTAAGAACCTCGAACAGTGTTGGCTTCATTATCAGTTCCTACGTTCTCCAAATGCCCTTCTTCCTCTTGACTTATTCTGTTATCAGTTTCATATCTAAGATAAGACCAAAAAATATTACAATTTAAATCGTTAGCAGATGTGCTTAAATAAATATTTAGTTATAATATTTCATTCCCATTACTATCGTTTATTTGACGTTTGTAAACATTTTCAGGTGACACTATAAACAACGTTAGTCGGTTGCCTAGCGACGTAGCTTGCCAACGGTCGAATCAATAATGGTGTATGTGATTTTTTTCGATAAATGCCCTAATTGAACTTAACTATTTATATCTTAAATTAATTATATATTTTATTTTATGTTCATTGTAAATATTTTTATTATTATTATTATTATTAGTATCAATTTTATTTTTATTATTTGTTTTGTAAGATATTCTTGTATTTTTCTAGTAAACAAAATAATTTTCAGAATTTATATGAGTATTTGCTTTAAGTTATTTTACTATTAAATTGAATTATTTTTTCTTGTTTTACTTTTGTTTAAAATTATACCTCTTTTTATTAAAAGTGGCTTTGTACTATTCTATACTTTGTAGGTATATTTTTAAATTTCTAGTATAACCTGTGTATAACATACACCTGTGAAAACGTTCAGTGGTCGACAATATATATTTCAACAGTAAGATATACCTAAGTTATATTGTTCTCAACTAATTGAAATTCATACAGGTATCTTACTATAGTACCAAAAATAATTTATTTCTACGATCACTGTCGAAAGTAGGCTTATGCGACTTGAAAACTAATTGCAAAGTTGTTGTTTTCTGCAGGCTGTCATCATTTGACATTATTGGCGCTCTTAAGTGGAAAGTAACTTTGGAGCACACCGTAATTTATTTATAGATAAAATAGAGTTAGTAGTTATTTTAAGACAGACTATAGCTTATGTAAATATTTTGATTGCCTTGCTAATATTTTAAATCATCCAAGAGTATTTTTCGTAAATAATTTAATGATCAAATCATGAATAAATACCGATATGGGTGTCCGTAAAAGGTCTTTACAAAAACATACCACATATTCCTTAGACCAAAATAAGTCGATTTAAGTAAAATTACCTTAGTACAAAGTTGCTTGGTTTGTGCTCCAGAGGGCCTTGAAGTTACAATTTTTAAATAGTTTTTCCCATATAAATTTAAAACGGCATATGCGATTTTGCTGAAATTTGGTATATTGGTAGAGTTTTATGTAACAAAAAAAAAATGGTATTAAAATTTTGTCCGATAATCATACATAGGCGTAGAACTTCATTTTTTAAATAATTGCACCTTTAAAAATTCTACGCCAATGGAAGAAAAGGAGTTTGAGTATAAAATTTAGATTGCACAACTCATTTACTTTAAAAAAGGTACTCTTGATAAGACTCGATTACTCTCATGGTTTTGACGAAATTTGCATTTTAGTAATTTTAGAACATAAACAATAATTATTAAAATACAAACTTTGTCAAAACCATGAGAGTAAATCGAGTGTTATCAAGAGTACTTTTTTGTAGTAAATTTACTTCTTTTTGCCGTTGGCGTAGAATTTTAAAGGTGCAATTATTTAAAAAATCAAGTTCTACGCCTATGTATTATTATCGGACAAAATTTTAAACGATGAAAAACATAAAAATGTAATTTTTTTTTATATCTTCTTCAACACCTCTAATCGAGACTTTTAACAAATATACTCGATTCTTGCCATGTACGATTTTTTGAGGAATATTAATTATTTGCCTGCAATACGTATACAAAAACATTTATTGTTGGTTTCCATAGTTTCATGTAAATAAAAATATTGTCAAGTTTTAACACTTAATCTCTTGTTAACGATTGAAAGTGTTCTATTTGACTCAATAATTAAAAAAACAAATGCGTGGTTTATTAATATGGCTGTACAATATACCAATGCAGAATATACCGATATGTTACTGACATTAGGATTTTGTGAAGGAAATGCTCGAGAGAGTGTCAGGGTGTACTCTGAAAGGTTTCCAAATCATCGTGTACCTAGCCACCTAACTTTTGCTGCTGTTGAGAGACGTCTTCGGGAGATCGGTTCCTTTGCTCCCAACACTGTTGATAATGGAAGAGAACGTTTTGTAACGATTCCTGAAGTTGAAAAAGACATTCTAGAACGTGTTGAAGAAGATCCAGAATTAAGCACCAGACGAATTGGAAAGGAACTAGGAGTAAGTAAAGATGTCGTTCATAAAGTGCTTAGAGAATAATTGCTATATCCATACCATAAGAAGCCAGTACAAGAATTATTAGTCCATGGTCCTCAAATTCGGTTGGGTTTTTGTCGATTTGTTAATATGCAAAGAGAAAGAGATCCAAACTTTGTCAAGAAGGTTCTCTTTACCGATGAAGCAGGTTTTACAAGAAGAGGTATAACTAATATCCATAATGAACATGTTTATGCCGTTGAAAATCCGCATACAATAAAGGTAAACCATTTTCAGCACGAATTCAAAATTAATGTGTGGGCTGGAATAATTGGTAATTTCATTGTTGGTCCTGTCATACTTCCACGAAGATTAACTGGAGAAAATTATTTGGATTTTCTACAAAATACGTTGCCAGAATTGTTATATGATTTACCTCTCCAACTTCGGAGAGATATGTGGTTTATGCAAGATGGAGCTCCACCACATTTTTCTTTAAACGTTAGAAACCACTTGAATGAACAATATCCACACAAATGGATAGGCAAAGGTAATGACGCACCTGTAAACTGGCCACCACGTTCCCCAGACCTAACACCGATGGATTACTTTTTATGGGGACATCTGAAATCCACAGTTTACAGGGAACCTATAGAAAATGAGGAACAACTTATTCAAGATGCAATAAACAATCTTAGAGGTGATGAAGAAGTTATGGAAAGGATACATTTTAATTTTCTTCGACGTATAAATCTTTGTATGCGTGAAAATGGTGAACATTTTGAACAATTTTTGTAAAATCTCTATTTTGATTATGTTGTAAATAAATATTTTTGTGAAACCTATACACTCTAAATTATTAAAACAGAAATTTATCGAAAACCATGAGAGTAATCGAGTCTTATCAAGAGTTTTTTTTTTTAAGTAAATGAGTTGCGCAATCCAAATTTCATACTCAAACTCTTTTTCTTTCATTGGCATAGAATTTTTAAAGGTGCAATTATTTAAAAAATCAAGTTCTACGCCTATGTATTATTATCGAACAAAATTTTAATACCATTTTTTTTTCCACATAAAACTCTACCAATATACAAAATTTCAGCAAAATCGCATATGCCGTTTTAAATTTATATGGGAAAAACGATTTAAAAATTGTAACTTCAAGGCCCTCTGGAGCCCAAACGAAGCAACTTTGTAATAAGGTAATTTTACTTAAATCGACTTATTTTGGTCTAAAGAATATGTGGTATGTTTTTGTAAAGACCTAAGTACTAAAATTATATAGTATGTAATATAATGTTGAGTAGTTTACGGAATCCCTAATTGACTCATTACAAAAAATAATTGCTTTGGATTTTTTAGGATTAGTTTTTAATGAATTATTTTTAGATACATTAAAGATTTCATTTAGATCGAAATTAATATTCTGTATAGGTTCATTTAAATTGGAATATTTAAAAGAATAGTATAATTGGGTGTCATCAGAATATAAATGGTAATTACACTATTTAAGTATATTTGGAAATTGTGAGGTATAGAGAGTAAATAATAGAGGGCCTAAAATACTACCTTGAAGTACACCAGATGTTATCTCCAACGGTGTGGAAAACGCATTATCTTTTATGTTTTATATTATCGAAAGCTTTTGAGAAATCTAATAGAAGATAGAAATCTTGTCATTATCCATGGTCCTAATTAAATCATCTAAAACATCCGCTAGGGTTGTAGCACAACTGTAGCCTGACCTAAAGCCGGATTGTTTACTAGATAATATATTGTTTTTTAAAAACCCTCTCCATTACTCTCTCTAATATTTCGGAGAAAACAGGTAAAATACTAATTGAATCGCTTATTGTTAAAAGGAACTAAGTCACATTTTTACGTTTTTGACTTTAAAACATGAAACGAAACTTTGAAGATATTCCTTTCGTTTCTTGAAGAAGGTACCGATAACTACCGCTAAAATAGTACACAAGCAATATAGTTAGACGGTTCCTTCTTATATCAAACGAAAGGAATATCTTCAAAGTTTCGTTTCATGTTTTAAAGTCAAAAACGTAAAAATGTGACATAGTTCCTTTTAACAATAAGCGATTCAATTGATCTTAAATCGCTGTATTCTTCACTCAAAGTTTCTTGAGCTTTAGATTTGATATTGTAGATAATATTATTGACATCTTTCAAAACACCATTAAAATAAAAGTTTCCAGTAATATTTTCTTTAAAATTGTTAAGTTAAAAATATTGTAAATCTATTTGTATATCAGAATTATTAGTGTTTGAAGTAAAAAACGGTTAATGGCTTTAACATCTTTTAGGTTTGGAGGTGTCAATTTTTTTTGTCTCGATATATTGAGTTTTTTTAATTCTGACCAATTTTTCTTAATATTACAAGTTTGAAATTTAATATTTAAGTTAAACCTTTTTTTTGCCTATATAACTGAAGTTGTGTACTTTCTTAATTGTTTATAGTAATCCCAATGCGTTGGAAGTTGTATTTTGCAAAATTTTAGCAAGGCTTTATCTCTAAGCCTTAGTATATAAATATTTTCAGTAATCCAGGGATAACTTTTAATTAGTTTTCTAGGTTTTTATTTTTTGAAGCATGTATATCTGAAACTGTAATTATATAGCTATTTAAAAATTCTACATTTTTTGTTAATATTTTCAGTAAAATAAATATTATACAAAGAGTTTCCCCTTGTTGGTTCTTTAATTAATTGCATTAGATCAAATGTTTCAAGTATCTTGTTAAAACGAAGTGTAGTAGAATGGTCAATATCCAACATGTCTATGCGAAATTAGAAAATATTTGTTAGATGCAAATTAAAGTAATTAAGAGCTAACTTTCATACTGAAGAATTGGGCATTAAATATGAGAAAAAAAGATGATACCGACTTAAAGAATGTACAGTCAGCACTTTATGGAATATACAGTAAAGACTATATAAACTAAAAACATAGTGATCCGGATAATAAACATAGACATTTCGTAAGCTCTCCTAGTATTGTTCTAGCTCAGCGATATATGAAATTGTACAGAAATTTTGCAGACCATAAATGTCACTTTTCATTGGGAGAAAACTTTGCAGAAAAACGTGTTTTAAATGTGGTTGTAGAAAAAACAATAGAATTGTCTTTTGTAAAAATTTTATATATTTTTTTTTATGAAATGAGGCACTCAATAAACATATTCTAAATAAAAACCATGGTCAATTACTGAACATTATTAGGTAATAAATTTAAAATAAGTAATTTAGTATATTCGATGTTCACCCTAGTTTGTTATTTATAAATATAAAAAAAACACTCATTACTTACGCAAATCTGTAGCTTCCGTCTCCATTGTTGTCACTGCTGGATCTCAAAATGGGAATCGGCGGTCCTGAATACGATTCGGATGATCGAAATGATGCACTTTTTGAAACGGGAGTATTGAACGAATTTAAATTTGATCTTGCAAATGAAGAAGAGGTAAATGGATTGGAAGATCCTGTAATATAATAAAAACATGTGAACGCGATTTGAAATAAAAATGTTCGCTATTGAAACGGTATAAAAGAATTATAATGCTAAACGGACAATTTTATGTGAATCGACGTAAATTACCGTACCCAAAACTGTTTTTTTTATAAAGGAGCTAAATCTCTGTAACGATTACCTTGTTGTTTTTCTCTTGCTTAAATATATATAATTTTCAAATCAGATCACGCACTTGCGGCAGTGTTTTATCCTTGAGTGACAGTGTTGTTTTGTAGAAAAAACAGTATACTTGTACGAAGTTGCTAAGAAATACCATTTCTAAGAAAAAAATGAGATCAATCCCAAAATCCCACATAAATTTTAATATAATTGAATCTTTTATTTCAGAAAGGGATTTACTAACATTTTCGGCATTTTTGAGTTTTTCAGCTCGTTACATTATTTTAAGATAAATGCATCTTTTAGTGCAGAAAGAGACCATCTTCCGTAAATACAGTACAAGTTTAGTAAGTTTTAAATATAGTGGTGCCCAACATTCTTTTTCAAAGTAATACGAATTATTTAATAACCTAACCCACTCCCAAAAACATTAGAGCTTAAAACACTAAAAAAAAATAGATAAAATAACAAGTATCATATAACAAAAATGGCGCCAAACAGCATTTATTTGAGAAAGGTACCAAGGTCTGCTTTCTCGTTTCCAAACACTCCCTTATGTAATGGTACCCATTCAAGGGTGACCTTGTTATGTTCTACTAGGGCCTGGAGGGACTGTTGCCAATCAAGTACTGATTTACATTGTACGTCTGCCCTTTTTAGTGCTTTAAGGGCTGACTGACTGTCTTTAATGATAAAGACTTTGGCGCAGGCATTTATTGCTGTTACTTTAGCCTGGAAGACAGTTGTCAGTGACACCTGGTTCAGACTAATGGTCCTCCCTGAGTTCACATAATAGATCCCAGCTCCTATGCTGTTTTTCATTTTCGAACCTTTTGTAAACCAGATTTATTTGTTTTGTTTTTCTCTATCTTCCCGGCTTTTGGGACTTTTTGGTATTTGAATATCCAAAGGTTTCCTGAAGTCGTGAATAATGTGCGTTCTATTCGATGACATTCTTAATATAGGATTTTGTTTTAATTTCTCTAATATCATTCTGTAGTGTCCTTTTCTCGAAAGTTCCCATCTAACTCCATTAGTAAACAGCTTGTGTGTCGCCGCCATAGCGTCCTTCTCCACCATAAGGTGTATTATTGTTATTTTTAGACAGGCTAGTCTTTGTACCTTGTGTAATGAGTAAGTTAAAGCAGTTACTACAACCATAGTATCAAGCTAGTGCATCATTCTTGTTTTAAGCCTCCATATGTTTCCTATCATCCGTCTACAGGACCAGAGTATTCTTACAGCTTTTTCTGTTATTTTTTCTACATGGCTGCAGAAGCTAAGCTTGTTATCAAGAGTGATTCCAAGTTATTTAATCTCTATTGCCATTTTAGATGTGGTCCCTACATATAAAGCCCCATTTATTGCTTGAAGGTTCTTTTTCCTTGTGAATGTAACAACAGAGGTTTTTGTCGGAGGAGACTTTAAAATAGGTATCTTTTCCCTGGAGGACCTATAATTTCTACCATATTGGCCTCAATCAATTATCATCAAATCAGCCACAACATACACATATCTGGAATAATTTACTTCAGTACATCGTCATCATTAAGACTCATTTCACTTCTCGTTTAATTGAAATTTTATTGCCTCACAATTTAAGTTGTTAAGTTCTTTTGTTTTTAATTTTTTATAATCCCCACCATATTATTAATATACCATTGTAGAATGTAAGGTGTGTTAAATTAATTTTACCATTTAGAGCTCTTTGCTAATTTGTAATATCTCATTAAAGACTTGTAATAGGCTAATTAGCCGAAACAGGTACTCAATTATATTAAATTTATATTAGACTAGATTTTGAATTTAATTTATCTTATGAAAGATGACTACATTCGAGAAACTGGTTATTTGGATATATATCCAGCTGGCTACCGACTTAAAACAAGTCTGTCATAAACTAGCATTCAAATCGACCAATGTTTTAACATTTAATAATGCGTAGACAAATCTATAAATCCAATCTAGTAACCTGAATCATATCTACATATTCGCCACAAAGCTGGTTTTAAAAGTGATTATATTGTGGAAAATATCCAACCTACGTTCGTAGAAACTTATGCCTAATGAGTGTGGATCGTAGATGAAAACTTTCATTACTCACTTATAGTTAGCCAGACAAAATTCCACTAATTAAAATGGAAAATTTATATCTGAAATTGCAGATAAACTTTGTTGCTAGTGTATATCTAAAACAGCTTTACCGAATTGAAAATAGGTTAATTATTTTTGTTATAATTGGAATTCAGGATAATAGGAATATGATACAAAAGTTAACCTTAGATAATCATTAAGGCCCCGAGTTGGACATTTTCATTTTTATGACTAATATCCATTATTTACAATAATTATAAGCTTGTTGAATAATATACCATTATTCTAAAAAGTTACGAAATAAATATTTACCAACTTGATTTGATAAAATGAAGAATATGGATAAAAGTACGCAATAATTTACACCTCAATACATTAAAGGCAATAGCGTTAGCTATAAAAATCATTTCTTAGATATTATTTAGACACTGACAGAAAATTAAAATCTTAACGACAATGAAAGCTCTTTTAACAAGTAATATCGGATAATAGAATTGAATATGATTTTATAAAATGTCTCTACAACAAATGGTTAACAGCAGGAAACAAAAGAATATATCGTAATATAACGTAATATAAATTGCTAAAGAAAGCATAGAAGGGGAAAGTGTTCGACAATGAGACAAGCGGCTTTTTTTTTAAAACTTACCGCCACATCAGATTCATGTTTAGTATCCTTAATCAGATATTGAAGCAGGTCGTAAGGCGTTTAGGTGTCAGTTGGGAATGAGGCAGTCACATAAAAGGCAAGTATTTTTTTTGGTTGGTCATCTTTGCAAGTGCGTAGAAAAATAAACTGATAGATTTGTACAATTTTCATAATGTGCTATTGCTATACTTAGCTTATTCAAACTGAGGTTATATTGCTTTATTTAGGAATGCATGGTTTACTGTAGGCCAATTTTTAAAATATATGTGTGATATTTCCACAATGAGACAATATTTTTGGTCCACAATGAGTCAGCTGTCTTATTGTGGAACATTATACATGTTAACCCCTTTGCTTAAAAACCCATTACGTAATGATTTTTAGCCTACCAAAATGGCAATGGCAATTTTATCAAAGATCAAATGGAGGCCGCCATTCGAATGGTCACTGAAGAACAGAAGAGTCTGAGAACAGCTACCAAAAGGACTGGGGTGAAGTTTAAAACTTTACAACGATACGTAACAATACAAAAGAATAGTCGGTATTGGTTTAAGTATCAGACTTACACCTAATTATGCCTGCCGTCAAATTTTCACTTTGGAGCAAGAGGATATTGTAGAAGAATATTCTGTTACTTGCGCCAAGATCTGCTATGGCAAATCGAGAAAGGACTTACATTGTTTAGCTTATGAAGTAGTAATTGCGAATCAAATTATTATTTCTGAGAATTGGCGTACCAACAGACAAGCTGGTTTGGAATGGCTTTTGGGTTTTATGTCGCGTCACCCAAATTTGTCTATCAGACAACCAGAAGGATGCAGCCTCTCGCGAGTAACATTTTTCAATAGATATAACGTCGATCAGTTTTTTAACAACTTGGAGGAGATTATAAATCGTACACCAGAATTTGCGGATGGGACACGCATTTTTAACCTGGATGAAACAGCAACAACTACGGTACAAAAACCCAGGAAAATTATCGTCAAAAAGGGAATAAATCAAGTTAGCTTTGCTACTAGCGGCGAACGAGGAATATTAGTTACAACCTGTTGTACAATAAGCGCAACTGGAAACTTAATTCCTCCTGCAATGGTTTTCCCAAGAATTTTTTAAAGACATATGCTAATTGAAGCACCCTCTTGAACACTGGGTCTTGCCCACTCTACTAGTTGGATGACTATAGAATTATTTGTCAACGTCATGAAATATTTTATACATCATACGGCTAGCAGTTTGGAAAACCCATCCCTATTAATTATGGACAACCATGAAACTCATTTATCTGCAGAAGTTCTAATTTTAACAAAGAAACACGGAGTAACTGTTTTAACTCTACCACATCATTGGTCCAACAAGTTACAGCCTTTCGATTTGTCAGTCTTTTTTCTATTTAAATTATACTACAATGCAGCAATAGAATCATGGTTACTCAGGAACCCTAGACGTCCAATAACAATATATGACATTGCTTCGTGCATTGGAGTAGCTTTTGAAAAGTCGATGACATCTAGAAATATAACATCAGGCTTCAAAAAGTCTGGAATTTATCCTTTAGATAAGCACGTATTCACAGATGAAGATTTTATTGTCAACAGTGTAACCCACAGAGCCTTGCCTGAGGTTCAAATGGTTACACATGGTTCTAATGGCGCTAAAAAGAACACACAGAATATTCCAAGTACAATTAAATCTACCGATTAGACTTTAAATCCTAATGTATGTGAAGACACCCTTAAGACTGATGATGAAGATGACAAGAAATATCAAAATGAGAATGATAAGATATTTGTCTCCCCACACATTTTATTGGAATATCCCGAGGCGAAAGATTCAAAGCAAAAAGGCAACTCTAGGAAGATGAAGAGTATTAATGTTACAGACACCCCAGAAATTCATTTGATAAAAGAAAAGGTTATAAGGAAACAAGAAAAAGGAAGCGCAGGATATGAGGAAGCGTAGAAAGATAATTTAAGCTAAAACCAGACTTTTTGAATCATTAAGTAATGATATTGACGATGATTATCAAGATATCGGTAGAACTTCCGACGACTTGAGCGAGGAAGAACTCACCAAGAACCTCTTTGAGTTCACCGAATTAACGATTTTGT